GCCGCTTCGTCGCTTGGCCCAGATCTGCAAGAAGACAAGGAACGAGAAGGGATTAAAAATTAAAACTTTCACCAACTTACACTACCAACCAACAAGCAGAGAATGAAGAAGAAAAGAGACCGAAAGAAGGAGATGGAAGCAACGGCTTCGAAACTGGAACAGAGGAAATCAGCAGGTGGAGAAGATGAGAATTAAAGAAAAAACGGGTTTGGGTTATAAATGAAGAGGTATATATAGTGGTTTAGTAGTAAATTTATTAAGATATAAGGGTAAAATAGGTATAACATGTCACTTTCATTAATTGGAAGCTGGAAGCTCCTGCAAAAGCTTCAAATTCCTTACTTCTCAATTTTCAAAAGGTGGAAGCTAACTTTTGCTTCCTGGGAGCTGAAGCTCAGTTCAAAAGTTAGGGTATTTGGTGTAGCTGCACCTTTTGGACTTCAAAAGGCCTTCCGACCAGTTGCACCAAACACCCACTAATTTGGCTACGTTGCTTCATTTAGTTGTGGTATTTTGTTTTTTCCTTTTTTTTTATTTTTAAATTCAAACATAAAAAGGGAAAAATTCATGAAATCAATAGAGTAGTTCTCTCTTTATTCCAAAGTAATTATCGGTTTTTACTTTATTTTCTAAATTAAGGATTTAAAAATAATTTTAATAAAAAAATATTTTATAAAACAAATTGTATATTAAAAGTACATTACATTAGCTTATAAATTTATTAAAATATTTTTAATAAAATAATATAAAAAATAATTTTATTAAAAATATTTTAATAATTTTATAGATTAAATTACATTTTTTTTTACTATTTTAATGTGCAATTGTCTGAATTATAAAACATAAATTCTTACTTTGAATAGAGAGAGAAAAATGTCTTCTATAAAATAAAAAAATCTTAACATCAATTATTACTAAAACATGGGCAAAATCTCATACCTTCAACTTTTTGAGTGCGTGAGACACACCTCATATTATAATGTATAATACTCTCTTAGCATTCGAATTTATGATAATGAGATAATATCTAACGCTAAAAGTCATGTGTAACATATACGCCGTTAATTTCCATCATAAGTATGTATGTCAGCAACACGTAAATCTTTTTTTACTTGTTGGCAGTCCAGCTTGTACGGCTAAGTAACTAAACCATCAAACAATTTAATTATGGATCCCAATCTCTTACTTACGAGTTGAAAAAAAAAAAGAACGAAAGTTAGATGAATGAAAACAAACCGTCCGACTCCTCTTCCTCCACTCCCTCTGTTTTCACTCCATCTTCCTTTCTGGCAACAGCCATGAAATTTTCTTGAGGGAAAATGGGTCAGTTGCCTTCCATTTACGTAGATCGCGATTACTCCGCCGCTGATCAATTCAGCTATTTGTCGTCACCTGGAATGGTTTCCAGCGATTTCATGGAATCCGATGAGGAATTTGCCACGAATCTCAATTATACTAACGAGATTTTCCGATGAGTGCTTGGCGTACATTTTTCAATTCCTTGGTAGAGAGTCCCGGATCTCCCTGGGTAGTGGGTATCAAATGTGCATAACCTTTAAGGAGAATTTTGATGGAAGGAAAGCATGCAACTTCTGAAAAAAGAAAATGAAATGATGATATGCAGATGAATATGCAAAGAAAGATCATAACTGTTTTCAACTTCAAGGAGAAGAATTTTATATCATGAATTGACCCATGGAAAACCACTCTCTTCACATATAAAACAGCTTTTCCTTGCAATCTTCAGCCTTTCCTATTTATGATTCAATGTATATTTGTTCATTTGGTATATATTAAAAGACGTAATATACCTGCACCATAGTCTTTGCGCAGCCTGGTATTCTCATCCATCAGCATTTTCTCTCTTCTCTGATACTCTAGCTCAATTGCCAGAATTTTTTTTATGCTAGAAGTTGATGTTTTCCGCGAGTACAGTTATAAGCGCTCAAAAACTTGCTGTTGTCTTATCATATTTTTGCTGCAATTCAGATAGATGCTGGTTTTTGTATCCAATCTCTAGTATAAGAGATGCAACAATTTTGCGCTCTTTCTTGAGTGCCTCTTCACATACATTGCTCTTGAAGTCCACTCCATGTTGGCCACTTTCCTGCTCCTCACTGCACTTGCCTTTCCCCAATTGACTATGAGGTTGAAATTTCTCCCCCCCAAAAAAAAAGAAAGGGTATAAACGGATTAAATTAAAAAATTTATGAAACAAAAGCAACAACCTCTTTGGACTTTCCACAGGTTTTTTCAAGGCATTCTACAAATTTTTGCTGCAAAATGCTGAATGTATGAATGGAAAAGAGGGATCGTTGAAATTGGTTTTAAAGGCATGATTTACCCAACGCATGAATAGACAGAAACAAAAGCCTACACTTTCTACACTCACTTGATCCTTTGAAACTTGAAATGGCACCATACTGTTTCCAAATATTGAAGCTTAAACAGGTAAACATAAATCTACCATAAGGGTGGAAGAAAACTCACCACTCCCATTCGTAAAAACACAGAAAAATGTCAATTTACCAAGAAAACAATAATGGGACTAAAGAGAGAAATGGAATCAGAATGGGTTTAACCTTTTCAAAGTTGAGCTCCTCTTGAAGATGCATGGGCCTCCCAGTTTCCTCCTTCCTGTTTCTTTTCAAGAATCATGGGGTCTACAGTTTCCGTCACCTGGAATGGTTTCCAGTGATTCCGTGGAATCCGACGAGGAATTTGCCGCGAATCTCGATTATACCGGTGAGATTCCCGATCAGTGCTTGGAGTACATTTTTCAATTCCTTGGCGCCTTCGATTTCAAGCTGTGCTCGTTGGTGTGCAGGCGGTGGTTGCTTGTGGACGGCCAGAAGCTTAAGCGATGAAGCGTTGGTGTTGTTGCCAGAAGGGAAGATGGAGTGAAAACAGAGGGAGTGGAGGAAGAAGAGCCAGACTGTTTGTTTTCATTCATCTGACTTTCCTTTTTTTTTTTTTCCATTCCAACTCATAAGAGAGAGATTGAGACCCATAATTAAATTGTTCGACAGTTTAGTTCCTTAGCAGTCCAAACTGAACTGCCAATGTGTGAAAAAAGATTCATGTGTCACTGATATGTATATGTATGATGAGAATCTACCACGCACGTGCTGCACGTGGCTCTTATAGGGTAAAATCATATTAAGAGTTTATAAAATCGGTAATGCGAGGAGTAAAGTTACACACACTTAAAAAGTTAAAAGGACATTCTATGGGATTTTGCCCTAAAACATGGATATAATTAACTATAAACAGATATATACATGGAATACCATGTCTGGTCGATTGTTTAGAAACCAACTACAATGTCTAGAGCCACTGAGAATACAAGCAGCAGCATGGAAAAAGATTACACGCTTCTTTGGTAAGAAGTTGCCACAGATTTTATTTATAGCATCAACTTATTAAATAGGGGATAAATACTCATTTAAGCCTTCTCTCCAGTTAGAAGATCCATGACCACACGCTTGATGCTCCCATTGTTCTTCTTCAGCAGCTTCTTGTTCGTTTCTGCATCACAGAAGCCCTAAAAGACAACAAATTTTGTTCTGTTATCCTAATGCCTAGGGAAAAAAAAGATACAATTTCTTTAGTTTATATCCAAACAATTTACCATCTCCTGAAGCTCCTCAAGAATTGGATCCCACTCAGCAACACCACACAGATCTTCAATGGACTTCTCCAAATCATAATCATTCAACCTCAAGACCTCCTTGTTCAAATCAACCTGCTTGAAACCCATCTCTACAAGTTCCTTAAGAAGAGTCTGTTCAAGAACACTGCTTTCAACACTACCTTGTAATGATGATGGCATAACCTCTGGAAGTGTGGTTGGTGGTTGGGTGGATCCAGCAAGAAGGAAATCCTCAGCTGAAACAGGTGTAGATGATTCAGGGGTTGGGAAACCTTGAGCAATGATGGGATATGCCTCAGATGAAGGCGATGGGTACTTTGGAGGAGCATGGGCTGACAAAGGCAGCACTGAAACAGAGGCTAGTGGAGTCTGAGCAGAAACTGAGACTGTTGGAGACTCTGGAGGAACAGAGGATGGAGCCTTTTGGGTAAGTGCGGCTAACAGAGCTTCTGGAGGAGCAAAAGCTTGAGCCTGTATAGGAGAAGAGACTGGGACATCATCAACAACCAGCAAATGATTGTTAATTCCGTAAGTGGGTACCTGCTCCTTGTTTGACTGTTGGTCAACCATTGGTGTTATTGGCATGGTGACAGTGACATCTACTGCAGAACCACTATCCATATCCATAAAGTCTCTCTGACCACTGCTTGCTGGGGGCAAATTCAAGTTCAAGCCTTGGAGACTACCACAAATAGAGTCCTTCAGAGATTCATCAACCTGCATTAACAGATTCAAGCAAATATAACCGAAAAAATGTCACTGTCAAAAGAAAATGTTCAGACCAGAGATTGGGGTTCCTGCATTTGCATGAAATACCTGAATAAGAACCCAAACACGTTGTCCAAATTTTGTGCCAGAGGGAGATGCCATCCGCCAGTAGGAAATATAACGACCAGGCAACTCAGGTGCAGTAAAATCAACTGCAATGTCTAGTTCCCCATCTATAGGTACCCCTTCCATGGGAGTCTGACATGAATCGAGAAAATTATGCACAAATCAATACAGGAACCCAAGAAAATTCTACTTAAGGAAGATTCAAACAAACATAACAGAGTATCTGCAACTAAAGTGAGAAACACTCCACCTCTATGTCAACTGAGACTGCATCACTGAATTTGTCCGCCCCAATCCAGACAAGTTTTGAACAGTTGGGCCAGGGCAAGTTTCCACTGTTACGCATTCGCCAGATCTTTGTAAATGGAGTGGATGGAGCCATTACAGTACCATCCAGTATATTTACATCCAAAACGAAGCGACTATCTAGCTTAGGCCGACCAAACTTCATCCCATGATTTCTCCAGATATTTGGCAGTGCTGGGCCACCAGCTCCAATTGACTGAAAATAAAGCATTTACTACATCAGTGAGGAGAAAAGAATTGAGGAAAAAATAAATATGAGAATCAGTCAATAGTAGTGACCTTGATACATCGAGGATGACGGTAAGACACAGGCCTGTCCATTCTGACATAATCTGCTTCATTACCCAGTTTTGAAAAGCAAATGCCGCAGAGGTCATAATCTTCTTTTCTGTATTTACAAGTAAAAAGGAGATGAGAAAATTCCAGTAACTAGAAATCAAAAAAGAATCATCATTGTTTGAAATATCTTACACTTTGGACTTGAACCGAGGTCCAGCAATTGGATGAATACCACATCCATCACACTGAACCCCCCGGTGGAAAATTCCAGACATCCCACTAAAAGGCATATGACACCAGTTAAATGTACCAGGCTGTGAATAAGGAGGGACAGCAGGGTCATTAGCTATGGACACTCCACTGAAGGGACATTCATTTGAAGGATTTCTGGCCAAAGCTTTGGTATGGTAATATTGTGCATTCCTCTTAGGATCATCCAAAACAGGGAAACCAACACCCTTCTTGGAATGGTCATTAACTCTGTTCTTATCATTCTTGTCATCACCAGCAACAACATTTGATAAAGCTGGGATTGATTTCACCCCAGTAGATACTGATAGGTCAGATTCAGAAGTAGACTCAAGGTTTAGATCAACAGTAACAGATTCAGGGACGACTTGTGTCTTGACATCACTCGCCACATTTCCAGCACCAGTCTCCTGGCCGCCTTTGCAAACTAAATTTGCAGATGCAGACTGTGATAAAATGTATCTCAGGCCACTGTCAGTTGAAGGATTTTGCATGGTTGGCACTAATGGAGTCACAAGGCCCTCAGAAGACCCACCCTGCCTGTTCGTGCCACTAGCTGCTGAAGTCTGAGAAGTAGCATCCAGGAATGACTGTCTCACCTTGGAAAGATGGTCAACAAGATCAGTGAGCAGTGGGTTGGCAGATAAAGCTTTTGAAGCAAGGTCAAGGGACAGCTTTGAAATGGCATCCAGGGGAGGCTCTGGAAGAGATTTTAAAAACTCAGATGCACAGGTGTTGATATTCTGTGAAGGATGCTGAACTTGCAAGGACCTTAAGGGAGTAGAAGTTCCACTTGATCTTGCGGAAGACTTGGAAAAGTCCGCAATATTGAGCTGCACATTAATCCTCAAGAATTTGAGGTTCTGCCTTGTCACATCATGCAGATCATCATCATCAGCAAGAGTGACTACATCACCATCTTCATCAATATAAGTCAAAGCAAGTTCAGCATCAGGTGCGAAACTAAAGAGATCAAATATTTTTGCCCTCAGTCCAGCCATGTCAAGATTCAGCTGCCTATTTTCATTAATACGAGCACTGAAACGTCTAAGGGTATCTCCATACTTAACCTACAAGCAAAGATGTCATAATGATTCTGATCTCAAAAAAAATGGAACTCAATGGGAGGATGTACGGACATGTGAAAAGTTAAATAAGAAAAAATATTGGCAAAAGAACTTAACAGTACAAGGAGTGAAGGAATTAGACACTACCATCAAAAACAATTTCATCTAAAAGCTTAAAACTAAGAGCAAGAGGTGAGGGCCAAAAATGCGTTTTATTTTTTGACATCCAAGAATTAGAGCGTAGCTTAAACATAGTTGCAGAAAATAAGGCAACGCAGTAAAGTAACTGAAGAAGAGAAAAGACCTCATAGTAGTTGAAGAATATAAAACATTAAAATTGCAGTATGAGAGGATAACAATCCTCAGGCTGCTAGAGACCTAAGTTTCCACAAGTGTTCTTTCTTTGGAAGATGCAGAATAGTACCACAACTAAAAACCTAAACCCATAAAAAAACATCATCAATCAATAAAACTAGAAACATAAATAATCAACGACCAGCCAAAAATCCTAAATAAATCAGCATCCATTAAACTACAAATTCAAAAAACAAAATGATGCCCGAACCTAGCATCAATAAAAAGGAAAGAAAAAGGAGACATACGTATTATCTAAAGAAAAACTGAATTTCCTTTATATCTAGGGGATAAAAACAGCCAGATTTTCTATTTCGATCGGTAATAAGAATAATACAAGACCTTAAAATTTAAAACCCAAAAATAAAACATCAATAATCAACTGAAAAATTCAGCCAACAATATTCTTTCGGATCGACTGCTAATTCGAAAATAATAATAATAATAATAATAATAATAATAATTAAATCTTTAGAAAAGGTAAAAATAGAAAGGAAGAAAAACGGACCTTGATAACCAGATTAGATTCCATGCCTGGATTAGAAGGACCACGCTCCGGGGAGCCGCAAAAAGCAGAGATTATATTAGGAAGATCGAAACCCTAGACCTAAGAACGTTAATTGTTGAAAGATCTAAATGCGGAAAAAGATTTTGACAGTCTGAAGTTTTCTTCAGAGGCAGAGCGTACCCGTAAGCCGCTTTCCTTTCGGCGATTTCCAATTCGTAGGAAGGACGGTAGAGAAATGTTTGTGTAATTTAATTAATTTAATAATTAGTCTATTAATTACTAATTTAATTTAATTTTAATATAAATATTTATTTTTTTAATAGTCTATAAATTTTGAAAATTATTTCATAATAATCGACCGTGTAAAACTTTTATTAGTTTTAAGGTAAAAGTTAAGAGTTGAAATAGGGTAATTTTTTAAATTTTGAAAAAGTGACATTTTAATTTTAATATCATATTGGTTAAAACTTTTTTTTGGTCCTCGAATTATTGTATGGACCTCTGATTTAGTTCTTGAATTAAAAAAATCTCTAATTTAATCCTTACTGTTTACCTATTTTACCCCAACTTGGTCCTTCCATTAAAAATCGTCCGTTAACTCACAGACATATCAAAAATTTAAGATACAACAGTTGGTCCAACTGGATAAATGATGACATGGTCATACCCAAGACAAAAACAAAAGTGGGGCCCACCAAATTACAATTTTGCATCATCTTCTTCCTCCAACATCTTCTTTCTCGAATCTTCGTTCATTCAAACAATCAATTCAATCAAACAACCAAACCCACAAAACCAAAAAAAAAAAAAAAAATTTTTTT